CCCACTAAGATTAGGGGAGCGTGGAACTTAAATCTGAAATCTTTATTTTTTTAATGAGAGTTTAAGAGAAACTCACAACTACTTCATCTAGCTCTTTCAGGTTAAACAAATGAATATACGAGGTCTTATATACAAAGAGCCCACTCTTTTTTTAATGACACACAGAACCCACAAATCTTTTTTTTGTTGTTGTTGTTGTTGCAAGTGTGCGCGTTAGTGAAGTAACAGTGAGTGGAGAGTGAGGTTTTATTTTGTCAAAAATATATTAAAAAGGCAACTATGAAGATTGTGTACGTGTACTATGCCACTTAAGCCGGAGCCAATGCGAGTTAAACAATTAGGATGCAGAATAGCAGCACTCTTGCAAAAGTCAATTTTCAATTTTCTACGAAAGAATTGTTGTAAAATTGTTTAAAAAGATTTGAAACTATGGTAAAAGTCAATTTTCATTTTTTTTTCTACCCAATGAATTGTTGTGAATTATAAACCCATTTTATAGAGAAAAAGCTCATTAATGAATTTAAATATTTAATCATTCGGATTTCTTCATAGATAAAGATGAAAAATATCAGAAATAATGGTCTGTTTGGTAACGTTTTCAAAATGATTTTGTTTTCAATATAAAAATAAAAATGAGATTATTTTGAGAATTATTTTAAAATCGATTCTAAAATTACATTTAGTTGATTTTTTAAGAGATTGTTTTGAGTATAATAAAAATTAAAATCATGTTTGGTTATAATTATTAATTAATATATTATAACATTATTGATAAGTATTAGAAAATGAAAACAGAAAAGGAAAAACAACTTTCAATTGTTTTCTAATTCTTTCACAAAAACCATTCTCATTGTTTTTGTTCGCGTTTTCATTTTCAAAGCATTTGCTAAACAAGCACGATTTACAGGCCGTTTTTATTTACGTACCTCAAAAGATGTGTAAAAACGTTTTAAAAAACAAACAAAAATCAATTCCAAACGCACCAAATATATTAAAGTTTTATGACCACAAGTTGGTTGTCGTAGCAAGAGAAGAAAATAATACCTTACTTGTCAATGACTCAAAGGTTCAGTTAAAAATAGCTTACAAGCTGGGTGTGTTATCAAGTCATAACTCAATTTTTTTTTCTTTTTTTCATGTGAGAGAAAAAATTATAACAATAAAGTTGATTTTAATTTTTTGTGAGAAATAACACTGTAACAAAAAAATTTTAATTGTGATTTGAGTTGTGGAAACAATAAAGTTAAATTTACTATCTATTACTATAATAGTATAAGAATGGGAAGTTGCCTTTCAAACATTGTTCGAGAAGTTCGTCACTCTATATTGTCCATTTCTTCTTCTTCTTTTCCTCCTCCTCCTCTTACTCTTTTTTTTTTTTTTAACTTTTCCCCTTGTATTTTTAACACTCAAAAAGTCATATATTCCTTCTTGTAATCATCTAAAATGTTATCTTAACAAATTAGGGGTATGTATCAAACCATTCAAACTAATCAAACATATCATATCAAACTAAAGTGAAGCAAAATCAAACCAAACTAAACCAACTAATAGTCGATTTTAGTTTGGATTTTCAAAAAGGCAATTAAGTTTGTTTGGTTTGTGATTTTACTCTTTAAAAATTATATAAACTATACATATGTCAAAATATAGGCAGTCTTTACAGTGGAGCAAACTATTTTACTACACTGATTAGGCAAGTGTTTTTACTCTTTGAGTAATTTTTTAACAGTCTGGTCTGCAGCTAGAGTAGTTTTGTGAGGCACGCTGCAAATTTTTAATATGGACATGTACAGATTTAACCGTTAAAAAAACTAATCTAAATGTTAAAACCTGACACTATATATAGTAAACATGTAACACCCTGAAGAATTAATTGAGATTAATTAAGGTAATTGAGATTATTAGTGTGCCTAATCTGGATTATTAATTGAGTTTTAATTAATAAATGTTTCTGACGTGTGAGTTTAAATAGTTCCAAGGTATTTAAATTATTCTTAGTAATTTATTTTAAACCAGAAGTGTGTATGAGCGCATTTCTGGACTGTTCTTTTAAAATATTGTTCACCTGTCATTTTCTTTTCCTTTTCCTTTTCTTTTCTTTTCCTTTTTCCTTTTTCCTTTCTTTTCTCTTTCCTTTCCCGTGCGTCACTCTCCCTCACTCTCTCTCTCACTCTCCCGTGCTCTCTCTCACTCTCTCCCTCTCTCATTTTTGTCCCAAATCAAAACGGATCTTGAACCAAGAAAAGATTTAAAGAAGTTTTCAATGTCAAGAGAAGGATTCGAGGTAAGATTACTGAAAGAACCTCTCTTGAATATCAAGTTTTTGAATTTCAAAACCTATTTTTAGTTCAAACCGGATTTTGATGGTTTTTGAGTAAAACTAGAGTAGAAATTGGAGATCTTGAGTTCTTTGGACTTGTCTTAGGACCTAGAACCCAGATCTAGTGGTTTTCCTTTGAAATATCTCGATTTGGGACTGGATTTGCAGGTTTTAGACTGATTTCCGTGAGCTTCTCTCGTGCAGTTGATTCCACCGGTCGACCAGTGCGGTCGACCGGATCACATGGAAACCGGTCGACCGAATTGTAGGCTGACCGGTCGACCAGTGTGCACACTCCCGGTTGACCGGTAGTGTTGCACTTCTTTGTCACCGGTCGACCAGTTGACACGGGGTTTGACCCTGTTTGGCCTGAAATTACTGTTTTGACCCCTGTTTTCGGGGAGAACCCAAATTAGCTTCATTTGGGGACTTGAGATAAATGGATTAGCATCTTTAATCCTTGTTTTGAGATTGAAAACCCTTGAAATGATAATTTGAAACATGAAAATGGATTAGGGCACACTAATAAGAAATCTTGGTTGAAAATTGAGATTTGGATTGCTTTATGAATGAGAATTGATCCTAAAGTGTTGTCTTGCATCAGTGATCGCTGAGGATTCAGACTGAAGGGGCTTGAGGAAGCGGAAGCCGGAAAAGGCAACGCTAGTCCCAGGTTTGATAGTGCGAGGTAGGATTTCTATCTCTTTTTCCTTGTGAGTCTGTTTTCAAAAAGGGTTTTGGCCTTGAAAATGTTTTAAAGAAAGGGATTGGTTTGTGAAAGAAAACGTTTTGAAAACCATGGCTTGTTTAGTTATGGAACCTCATGGCTTGTCTAGTCATGGGGCCCGCGGCTTGAGTAGTTCGTGGGGTCATGTTAACGATTTCAGAATGTTAATGAATGATTTCTTAATAAAGAGATCTTGTGAACTGGTAATAGAGTCTATTGCTGTAAGCCTAGATAGGATGCGGAGAGTGCATCCTCGGGGGCAGAACCCGAAACTCGGTCTGGGTAGGCGAGGCACTTGGTTAGGTAAGTAATTGGTACTAATTACTTGCTGAAGCCTGTAAAACGGTTATTTACAGTTACATTTTCTTTGAGAAAAAGGATGCGAGGTTCCGGCTGTTTTGTCGGGACTGAATGTCTTATTTTATTTACTTATTCATTTATGTATTCCCTCGCATATTTATTATAACGTTTATTTCAAATTATATCCTACTGGGCCTTTCGCTCACGTTTTATGTTTTAAATGTACTAAACCCCTCCCAGGAGATTCTAGGAGCGGTGCACAGTAGCTGGATATTTGTTACAGAGCAGCCGAGTTGTGCTGCTGTTGGAATCAAGTGAGGATCGTGGACATCCTCTTGGACAAATGTAAGGAATTTGAGAAATTCTGTAAACTTATATAATATTTGGATTTACTAGACTGTGGTTGATGTCTGCTGTAATGATTATTTACATGAGCATGTATGTACGATACTGTATGTCCTGTGTGGTGGAGCCCTGTGTGTCAGAGGCTCCGGGATTTTGTAATGTAATTTATTCATATTTTAATGCAGTTAAGTGTGGGGCCCGGTTGGGAATCTGTTTTATTAATCCCAAATCGAGCTCCACGTCACCCACCACGTTTGGGGGGCGTGACAAAATATTGTATGAATATATATAAAAAAAACTATTATGATAACAATAATAGAAGAAAACTTTATTTTATTCATATATGTCATAGGACATAGTATAAAAGACTATAAAGCCAAGATCAAGTATTTCGGTATGCTAAAATTTTCCCTTCTTGTTCCTTTGATCTCGATTTCAGCTACATTTGCTAGATAACCTTCACATCCTGACGCTTAATTTCTTTCATGGCATATATTAATGGTGCCCTAGCCCTTTTTCGAAATAAAATTTTCTTCCTCTTCTTTCTACACCTTTTTTCTCTCTCTTAATATTTTTTTCTCGCTCTCTCTCTAAGTGGAGAAATGAGCATGGTATAAATTTTTCTTTTAATCTCTTATTATTATATTTTACCTAGAAACTCTAGTAAAACTAGCAATTAAATTATACTTAAGATATGGATTTATAATGCCGATATTATGCTTAAAAATATGATATTATGCTTAATTTTATTATAAGATGATGATATCTTTAGGATTAAATTGTGAGAACTAAGAAATATTTGTATGAGGTTGTAATGCTAAATTAGAAGTAGAAATTTAGTTTCTCTAAGTAGAAATTCTGTTAGAATTAAGATTAGAAAGTTAAGGATTTTTAAGTAAAAATTCTATCAGGAATAAGATCAAGAGTTTTTACCAAAAGTTAGGAAATATTAAATTTGCTCTAAGTAATTTTATCATATTGAAATACTTAATCCTTATTATTTAACCATATGTACAAATATTTTTATGAAATATAATAAGATTATTTTCATACATATGTTTCTATTTTTTAAAAAAGATCAAATTATTTTGTATTTTTACTAAGTTCAGTAATAGTATTCGTCGAAGGAAATTTATTATATTAGATTAAAAGCCTTCCGCTGCAACTTTCGAGCGAAACGAACAAGTCCCTGACCGGATTCAATTAAATAAATAAATAATTTTTTTTGAAGAAAATAAATAAATAAATTTTATTATAGTAAAAAATTAAAGCGTAATTTGCCGATCCACTAAAAATTCATAGAACACCACCAAATGAAAAAAAAAAAAAAAAAAAAAAGAGAGAAAAAAGGATAAACAAAAAAAAAAAGCGAGAACGAGAGACACGAGAGACAGATGGTAAGCACAACAATGTCTGCGCAACCAAGGATCTTCTCGTCCCTCGTGGCCAACCGCTTCCTTCATTCGTCGCCGTCTCAGCCTCTGCGCCAACTCTTCCGCTACAACGGTGGTCCTCTCTTTCTCTCTCTACTCTCTCTCTCTATCTATATTTATATCTATAGATGAGGTATATAATACAATCGTTTTTTGCTTAATAAGATGGAACTTATTTTTAACCAAATTCAAGCTTTAGTAATCCTAAGAAATCTTTTTTTGTTGCTCGAATGGATGTTTGTTCGACTTCGAAAAGAGTAGATTTTTGTTACTGGACTAAATTTCAATGAAGCTATTTAAGTGGCTTAGGTGCTGGAGCTGAAATCTTTCCATTTCGAATCATATGAATTGTGTAAATTATGTTTTTATCGTCAATTACGAGTTGATTATTAATTTTCAAGGAGGAATTTTTTATCTCTTTTGTACCAAATGCTAGTTTGGAACCCAATTATAGATCTAGGTTTTGAATTGGAATGTGTTAAACTTATGCATTTTTTAATATTATATCATCAATTTAGTCGAATGAAGTGCCAATTATTGCTGTTAATTTCTATTGAAAAAATAATTTTTTTAATATTGATTTTTTAAAGCCTGAAAAGTGGAATGAACTAAGCATAATGGTTTTATCCATTCCAATATGTGAAAAACAGGAGAAAAGCATGTGTACATGCGGTTTTCGAGAACATCCTCTGGCTTGACGAATCTCTTATTTAATAGAAGGTAATTATGCTAATGCAACCGAATCTCGGGTCAAATGTAGAAAATGTGTAACAGGAATTGGAAAGCTGACAAATTCTCTGATTAAATTAGCAGAAATGTAGATGAATTGTCGAACACCAAGCGTAAGCATCTGAGGCCTGGAAAATTGTCACCTCGTCGACCTGTTCCGAGTAATATACCAAAGCCTCCTTATGTCGGATCCAGTAAACCTCCAGGCATTGCCAGTGGATCTGAAGTGCACGACGAGAAGGGGATTGAGTGCATGAGAGCTTCCGGAAGGCTTGCAGCACAGGTTCTAGAATATGCCGGGACTTTAGTCAAGGTGACATTTTTGTTCTATCTCGTGAATGTATTATACTTTGTAGCATAATGTCGTGTATTAGAATTGTGTAGTCTAGCTGTGATTGGCCTCCAGTTTGTTAGAGGTGGTGTTTCACATGAAAGTTTCAAGTGTTGCTTATATTGGCAGCCAGGCATAAAGACGGATGAAATTGATGAAGCTGTTCATCAGATGATTATTGATAGCAGGGCTTACCCTTCACCTCTGGGGTATGGTGGATTTCCAAAGAGTGTCTGCACATCAGTTAATGAATGCATATGCCATGGAATACCAGATTCTCGTGCTCTTGAGGTCCATTCTAATGGCATTCTCCAACTACTGTAGTTTATGTTGCTTTGTTCAAAAGATCATTATGATTGTAATGTCTTTGATTTGCAGGATGGTGACATAATCAATATTGACGTTACTGTCTACTTAAATGTAAGTATTTTTGTTTCTTTGGCAGCATAAATTTGATGAACTAAAATGGATTTCAAATTTTATACTTACGACATCTTGCATGTGCTATTTTGACCTTTCATTTTGGTTTCCACATTGGTCGTAATGCCCTACATAATAACCATACTAACAGCATTTCATCAAATGGTGCATTGCAAAAAATGTAACTTCAGAAAGTAGGTTGAATTGTGTTGTTGTACAATACGATGGATGGATAGTGTTTTTGATCAGCAATTTTTTTTAATAACTGTCCTGTGTAATTATCCAGACTCCAGTTGTTATCCCATCCCTCACTGTTGACTTGGGCGTATAAAATGACTTACCAAGTTTGAACGTTAGTGATGGTCACGCTTGCGTTTGATTGTAATTTGCAGGGGTATCATGGGGATACATCAGCTACTTTTTTTTGCGGTGATGTTGATGATGAGGCGAGAAAACTAGTTCAGGTAGGCGGTAGCTATCCCTACTTCAATCATTTGAGAGTTTGATAGACTCTTGGTAGCATCAATTCACACTAGTTATTTACATGTATGAATGTTCAATAATATCTAGAGCTTATTAGCACTATACAGTGAACAATAATTATTGTCAGTTTTGAAATTTTGGATAAGATGGGCTATATCTCCACCTGGTGTTCTTCTGGCATAGTCATGCTAACAAAAAAATCTTCTTTATTGGCCTTTTGGGTATAATTGCCATAGGTAACTAAAGAGTGTCTGGATAAAGCAATATCAATTTGTGCGCCAGGAGTAGAATTCAAGAAAATTGGCAGAACAATTCAGTAAGGCATCTCCTGTGTACTTTTTTCTTCATAATTTAAAATTCTCATAGTGTGCCTCTATGAGTCCCATGTATATTCACGCTTGCTTGTTTATGTCATTGTTGTTTTATACTAATTCGCAATTGCTGCTTTTCTCTCTATAAGTGACCATGCAGATAAATATGGTTATGGTGTCGTTCGACAGTTTGTTGGCCATGGGGTCGGACGTGTTTTTCATGCTGATCCAGTTGTTCTCCATTACAGTACGCATGCTAAGCTTTATTTTATCTTAATCAATCACTTGTACTTGGGTGAATTTTATGTCGTTCGTGCATGCACTTCCCCCACCCCCCCTCCCCCTTGTCAACCTAAAGGCATATTGCACTTTTAAATTAGGAGCTCAACATTCTTGGTTTTTGGACTAACATTACATGTTCCTTGTAGGGAACAATGATAGAGGACGCATGGTGTTGAATCAAACTTTCACAATTGGTAATGTATTATGTAACCTAATTGCCCGTCTACAATCATTCATGTGAATAGTGTTTGTTAATTATGAGCTTCTTTCTTAAAGAAAATAATTGAAATCTACTCCAGTCCAGAATCTATTGGCATTGATACAAATCAAAAAATATAACTTTAGGCTATGCTTGCATCTTGTAAGGTGTTGGCTCACTGCCACATTCTATGCGTTTATGCAAACAAAAATGCACTGGAGTCCCCATTATCGCAAGGGACAACGTGGGCTCTACCTAGCGATACTGGGGATTGTGATGCACCAAGCATTGCTTTAACATATATAGTTGGATAATTTTGCTGGTCTTTTCTTTTTCTCCTGTTAATTATTTTTCTTTTTCAGAGCCAATGCTAACAATAGGTAGCATAAATCCTGTAATATGGGACGACGATTGGACTGTTGTAACAGAAGATGGAAGCCTGTCGGCTCAGTTTGAGCACACTATATTGATAACTGAGACCGGAGCGGAGATAATGACCCAGTGTTGATAGTTGTGGTAGACTATTTCCATCGAACACCCAAATCTCCAATTCCTGGTAATTCGTCCTCCAAATTACGATTTGGATTTGCCTCTTGCAAATATTTATATATGCAAATTGGTTGAGGCGCTGTAAAATTTTGTTTCATTATTGCCATTGTTTCTGGTGATCTTGCCCAGGCCATGAATTGTGTATATCAAACTATGGTGTTCTAATTGGTTAGAATACACTTTGACTAGATAAGGCTTTTTCATATGATTGGTTTACACCAGATTGATTTTGTGTTCGGGTTTTTTCTCTTCGGTCGCTTTAATTCACAGCCACCTAGGAATGAATAAATTTCGAGGTTCAGAAAGACAACGTTCAAGAACATTGCACAATGAATGCAAACAAGCGTTATCTTTTCTGTTATTAGTTGATTGATTCATTCATCTTTGCCAGTGCGAGCATGATCTTCAAATGATATGTCGTATGTTTTTTATTTTGTTTTTTTGTTTTTTGTTTTGTTTTATTTTTCTCTGGATGTTTTTTAATTGAGGGAAGGAGACAAATATCTCTTACAATGCACGGGTTTGAATTTTACTCTTACTCTTCATTAATATATTTTTTAGTCAAATAATTATATTATAGTCAAAAGGGTGTTAATTAAGAGTAAGAGGTAAAACTTCAGAATTATACACTTTAAAAGTTCTATCTTTTTTTTTTTTTTTCCGTCCTTAATTTGTTTCATAACCGCTGCAGTCCTTTTTCTTAAGGCCATATTTCGTCTATCTTTTTTAATTTGTTTCTTAATGGAAACGTCGCATGACTTTTCTTTTAAACGAAGCACGACATGTCGTTGGGCATTTAAACGACGACTGTCTTTTCAACCGAAAACGACATAAGTTAAATGGACGTTTGCTGTACATTAAACATGACGTTTGGTTCATGGATTAGAATCATGAGATTAAAATCATTTTTGATTTACGTGTATTTTTTGTGAGAGAAAATACTGTAGCGAATCACAAATTATGATTCGAATCGGAGTACGAATCCTCCAACCAAACAACTCCGTCGCTTTTGGAGTTTTCTGTCGTTTCTATAAACATCATGTGCTTGTTCTTAAGAATTTGCTGTTGTTTATGATGGGACACGATTTGGCGCTTGTTGTTTAAATTAGAGTAGCCCTGTTTAACTCAATGGCCATGGGTTTAATATCATTTTTGTTTAAATTTTGCTCGTCTTATAGGATGGATAAAACACCACGATGTCGGCTTCTAATGATTGATATTTTTTTTGATGCATCATGGTAGCTTTTTATCCCAAAAAAAAAAAATCAATCATACATCATAATATTGATATATATATATATATATATATTATTGGTCTAATACAGATAGAGTTGCAAATCAATCATACATCATAATATTGATATATATATATATATATATATATTATTGGTCTAATACAGATAGAGTTGCAAGTTAGGATCGGGATAAACGGGCCGGTTTGAAGCCGCCATTATTGGCCTGGGCCCTGCTCGTCCTGTTCTTAAGGGTGCGTTTGGAATTGTTTCTAAAATGATTTTGTTTTCTGTATGAAAATAGAAATGAAAACGTTTTCATTTTGGAATTATTTCTTAAATGCGTTTGGTAGTTTTATTCAGAGATTGATTTCAGTTTTAAAAGAAACTGAAACTGTATTTGGTGGTGTAATTTTTGAAAATATGTAATAATATTATAAATTAATAATATATTGAATATATAATAATATTAAATATATTAAATAATAATATATTGAATATATAATAATATTAAATATATTAAATAATAATATATTGAATAAACATGAATTTTTACATGAAAACTGCAAGGGGGGGGGCGCAGTCGCAGAAGAGTGAAAAACGAGCGCAGATTTTCAGAGAAAAGGAAAATGGAGGAGAGAAAAGGAAAATACGAAAACGAGAATAAATTGTTTTTAGATTTTCAGAAAATGACAATAACGTTTTTATTTTTTATTTTTAGAAAATTTTACACCAAACGCGTTTTCTTGAAGCCTTTTCATTTTTCATTCTCGAAAACTGTGAAAAATGGAAACAAACAGACCCAAGGAAACCCTAGAGGGTAAAATTAGAATTGAAATTTTCTATTTTTGAAAGTAAAATGAGAATATGCTATACTTTGTTAATATTATTTGAAAATATCCTAATGCAGACGCCGGCTGGATGAGCGACGGTGGGCATTCTCCTGCGTCTTCTTCGGCTGGAGAAGAGAGAGAAGAAAAAAAAAACTGAAATCCGTTTTCAGAAAACGAAAACGTGAAAATGAAAACGCATTTTTTTCGTTTTCAGTTTTTCACAAAAAGACAAAAACGTTTTTGTTTTTGTTTTCTAACACAAACTTCGCCAAACGCGTTTTTCATTTATGTTTTCAATTTTTTGCTTCGAAAAACGTGAAAAATGAAAACAAAAACTGTAACAAACAGGCCCTAAATTTTTTGGACTTAGAACCAGGCTGGATCAACTCTCTCTCCTTTAGGGTCAGATCGGCCCAGTCCAAACGTCATAATTCTCTCTCTTTTAGGGTCAGATCGGCCCAGTCCAAACTTCATATTTTTAATGATTTTTCTGAAAATACCTTATAAAATTTGGAGTCATACCGGGCTGGTTTTAAATTTTTAGGCTCACCCGACCCTCTCTTTCTTTGGGTCAGTCAAACCCGACTAGACTCAAAATTTCTCTTTAGGCAGGGCGGCCTAAACTTATACCTCGAAATGCATATGTCATTCAAACAAAGAGGACTTTTTTTTATTTGAAAAAAAACAAACAAACAAAAAGGATTTTACGACTTACAAGTTAGGCTACCTAGGATCTAAACTCTCCATTTCAATATTAAAAGCAAGAGTGTGGATTGATCGTAAAACTTATGTCATTCATTGTGATTTGTAGCATGCGTAAACCGACTCCGTCTCGAAGTGTAGGGCTAATCGTCCCTCTATACTATTCCATAAAAACAGAAGAAAAAGTTAGAAATATGGTGTAATTTTTATTAATCATATCTAAATAGAGTAAAAAATTAAAATACTATACAACTAATAAAAATTAAAATTATTAGAATAATTATTTTTTAATTTTGTACCGTCATAAAAGTTAATCTATTTAGTTTATAGATTTAAACCTAAAGTTAAATTTATGTGAGAAAAAATATTATAGTAAAAGTAATTGAATTATGGTTTAAATTTTTTGATGAATAAAAAGTATGTTATTTTACTATTCTTAAGATATTTTAAAAATATAACATGTTATTTTACTATTCTTAAGACATTTAAAAAAAAATTGCTATATTTCAATTCTACTCTCCTAAATTCGCCATATAGCTATGTTCTACTATAAATAAATAAATAAAAACTTTGATTCATTAAAACAGAAGGTATGCTCCTTAAAAAAAAAATAATAATAATAATAGAAGGTGTGTAATTTTACTCCCTCGGTGACAATAGCAAATAGCAACTGAAAAAAATCTGCACGTGATGGACACCTGGCACTATATAAAACCAATCCATTTTTATTTTTATTTTTTATTTAATTTTTACCTCACATCGCCGCCTTTCTTGCCCGCAGAGGAGAAAAAAATCCGCCTCCCAATCCAACCCACGCCATATCGGATTCTCTTCTTCTTTCTTACCTTACCCAAAAAACTTTCCCGAGAAAATTAAAAGGAAAAAACCAGAAACTTCTTTAACATTAATGGACGCGACGACGCCCGTGAACTGGGAAGCACTCGACGCCCTGGTCATCGATTTCGCTAAATCTGAGAACTTGATCGAGGACTCCTTCGCGTCTTCTTCATCGCCGTCGTCCGTACATTCATCGCCTTCCTCATCTTCCTCCCCCTCTCTCTCCTCGTCTTCTTATCATTCCAGATTGATCATTCGCCAGATCAGACGGTCCTTGGAGTCCGGTGATGTCGACGCCGCTATCGATATCCTTCGCACCCACGCCCCTTTCATTCTCGATGATCACAGGCTTCTCTTCCGTCTACACAAGCAGGTTCGAGTTTCTATTATCTATTTAGTAGTATTTTGAATTTTCTGTCTGGATTCCGAGAAAATGCGGGAAAATTACGACAGTACAATTTCTTGTGCTAGATATCATTCTGCAAATGCTACTATTTTATTCATCCAATTCAGTTTTGATTTATTTGATTCGTTTCGAATAGAAATGATTCGCAAGTTGAGATTTTGTTCTATATGAATTTTCTCGACTTTTCCTAGAAACACTTCATTTTGGCTCAATTTATCTTTTTGCTTGATCACCGATGGTCTGATTGATTTTTGTTTCCCCAATTTTCGTGTAGAAATTTATTGAACTCTTGAGAAGAGGAACTTTAGAGGATCGTGACTCTGCAATTAATTGCTTGAGGACTTCTCTTGCTCCTTGTGCTCTTGATGCATACCCGGTAATTTCCATGTCCTATTTGTATAGAATTGAATTTGATTGACAATGAAGAACTGAGCCTACAAACCAAGTTCATCAGAATTACTACGAAATCTGCTTCTTTATTTATTTTGTATTCCTAAAGTTATTTTTTTGTTGAAGAGAAGTTGGTTTCAATGACCTCTATTTATTCTGTATTCTGAGAGATTTCTTTAACTTTATTTAAGGAAGCATACGAGGAATTCAAGCACGTTCTGCTTGCCTTTATATATGACAAAGCGGACCAGAGTTCTCCAGTTGCAAATGAGGTGGGATTTTAAATGTCACTTTTACATATACTGCAAATAGCCGTGGCTCTATGAATTTTAATATTCACTTCAATTTATGCTTTGCCAATATGTAATTGTGCTTCTTTCATTTTTCAAAAGTTTTCTTGGTCACTTGTACGACTTAGCACTTTTAGCTGTATTTTCAGTGGTCTGAAAGGAGGAGGTTCGACATTGCTGGCCTATTATCCACTGTATTAAGAGCTCATTTACATGCATATGATCCTGTATTTTCAATGACATTAAGATATTTGATAAGGTCCGCATACTTTCACCGAGTTTTATTTTGTTATGATGTGCTAGGTTCATTGCAGTTGTGTTAAATCTTGTTTTCCTTTTGCATACATGTAGCATACACAAGGGATTTTGCTTTCGTCAAGGAATATCGTCACCCATATCAGATCTTCCTGAAAGGTTGCTCCTTGAGGAGCGTGACCCTCCTGCAACACCCCAGGAGACGTTGTATGAAGCACCTCCCTTTGATGAGGTAAGAATTCCATAACATATGCTGATGTCAGTCATCATAACAGCGTTATTCTAAATGCTTCTATTTGCTTAATTAGGCCATTGGGTGGTAAGAAAATTCTCAGGGAATGGACTATGTCTCTTATGCATTTCAGTTTTGCATGTTTTCGAGCTTATAGCCTAATATCTTACATCCTTAGGACCTTATCATAAGCGTTGTATACTTGCTTATGTTTAGGTCATTGGGTGTTGATGAATTCTCTTTAGAGAATGAGTATGCCTCTTATGCATTTCAGTTTTGCATGCGTGTTTTAAAACCAGGTGGACATTCAAGCACTTGCACATGCTGTAGAGCTTACGAGACAAGGGGCAGTTGATAGCTTAAGATTTGCAAAGGGTGACTTATTTCAGGCATTTCAGGTTATTGAATGCTTATCAATGTACTCTTTATTTCATTACTTCTACGTAGTGTTTTTTTTCCCCCTCTATCTCCTTGAGACTTAGTTTCAATTACATCCAATTTCAGAAAAGTTAATTACTTCCACCAACATCCACCCATGAACACTCACACACCCTGCTTTAAAAATATAGGAATTCAGTAAAAACCATTATTTTCCTTTTTATTATCAACTTCAAATGAAACCTCTTCCAAATAACTCTTCAATTATTGCTGATTGACGTACTTTGTTTATTTGTATTAAGATGGCGTATTTGTGTGTTAACTAGTTATTTATGGAAGTATTCTGAACCAGAATTTATATTTTGCAGAATGAATTATGTCGGATGAACTTGGATGTCTCCATGCTTGATGAGCTTGTACGTGAATATTGTGTTTATAGGGGCATTGTGGATTCTGTTTTTGCCTCCCCTTCTGGTGAATTAATCTTTTCCTTGATATTTGTTATTGATTGAAAAAACTTACTCTTCTTTGTTGCAATTCTAGTTGAATTCTGTTTATCTTCAATGCATTTGATTATGTTGCCTTCACATCAGGAATTCAAACCCTTTCCAAACAGTTGAAAGTCGATCATCCAGTGCTTGGGTCTAGCTCATCAAGAGATCTCTCTCTCGAAGTGGATTGTGGTGCCAGCAAAAATTCAGATGCTGACTCTTCCATTAGTAATGCTCACGTGGGTGGTTCACCTGAAAAGAATGTTGATGTGACTAGCATGCAAGGAATTGATGTTGAACTACGATATGCATTTGAGCCAACAACCATTCATGAAGACTGTAGCACCAGTGGATCTCATCAACCTGAAAATCTGAGAATTCAACAAAGAAGTAGAATCAGTGCTGGAGAAAGGAGTAAGCGTAAGCGATGGAGGGGGAGAAATGACGATGTAGGTTTTACTCCTACCACTTCTGTAGATGAATCTAGTAAGCAAGATCTTAGCACGAGTAACACGGAACGTCAGGTAATTGTTTGGATATTTATGGAGTAGCCTTGGCAATTATACTAGACTATCACATGCTAATTGTATTGCTTATGTTGTTGCTAGTTTCTCATGGAGTTTTTTTTTTTATTATTTTGTTAATAGGTTTTAGACAGGCATCCCATCCTAGATATTAAGAATAGGGAGGATAGATATGAGATTATTCTGGGGATGAAGGAACTGGCTAGTAGAGGAATGGCAGCAGAGGTTGTGGACGAAGTTAATGCCCTAGATCCAAACTTTTTTGTGCAAAATCCTATTTTTTTGTTCCAGCTTAAGCAGGTATGCAGATTTTCTATTGCCAATGTTTCCTTGTGGATACATTCATGAATGTCTTTCATTTTTATTTTGTTTTCTACAGAATCATTTTAATTCGTTTATTTTACGGAATTTAGGTTGAATTCCTAAAGTTGGTGAGTTCTGGGGATTATTCTGGTGGTCTGAGGGTTGCATGCTCTCACTTAGGTCCTTTAGCTGCTAGTGATCCCTCTTTACTGAAACCTTTGAAGGAGACTTTATTGGCACTGCTCCAGCCTAATGAAGAGGCAGTTGGAAAGGGCCTGCCTTTACATGCTCTTGCAAGTTCACTCCAAGTATGTTATATTGCTAGCTGACGCACTCTGGATGACGGTCATTGCTAATCCAATATTTTAATAGTTTTTCTTGTTTAAAGCTCTTTCTGCCCATAAAGAGAATTGTTCTGAAGCACGCCTTTTCTTTCTTTGTACTTTTTTCCGGTACTGAAATTTACACTTGAATAATTTCAGATTGCTTTCGTTTTTGGAAGATTTTAATTTTTCTTTTTACACACACACATACACACATATATATTCAATTATGTTAAACACGTACTTTATCTTTGACAGGTTGCAATTGGTAAGAGGCTTGGGATCGAAGAACCCCAGCTTATGAAGATAATTAGAACCACCCTTAACTCACATAATGAGTGGTTTAAGCTTCAAATGTGCAAAGATCGGTTTGAAAGTCTCTTGCAGATTGATTCCTTGAAAGAAGCTAATCCTTCTTTGCTTACTAGTATAACTACATCAAAGATGAATACGGACAGATCTTCGAATGGATCTCCCCAGGCCACTTTATCTTCTAGCAGCAGGATGTCAGAAGATGGTAGCAGTCCCACTCAAACGTCATCTAGAGATGTTATATGTGATGAAAATGCAATACTAAAAGTAATGGTGAGTTTTCCATGTCTTAATACCTGTACATTCTTGGATTAATTTTGCTTCTGCAACCTATTTGGGCTCTGGAAATATGCTTCTTCAACTTATCATGCTTTCTGTAGAATGTGATCTGATTTATCCTGTAGAAACTTCTAAAATTAGTTCTTAGGGTCTGACCAAGGTGTACTCATTTAAGTGCTACTGCATATCATGTATGTTTCATTCCGAAACTTTCTTCCAAGATAATTTACCCGTGTTAAAGCATTCATTGGAGAGCTTTTATCTGTGTAAACCATAGGTCTGCCACCTTATGGGTTAATGAATAACGATACTTAGCCGAGATGACCTCATTGGATCTTGTTGTGGTATCCCAGTCGGAAACGTTGTGCCTTCTTTCAGCACATAGCATTTAGTAGGAGTTCATTCACTTTTTCCTCTTTCTTGGCCATACTATAATGACGACATGTACAAACGAATCCATATCTGCTGCCCCATTTTCCTGTCCCCTCAATTATATGTTGACAGCTCGTTTAATTGTTCAAGTTTTTTTAGCATTTAGTATTTATTATATGGCTACATTTTTAAATTTAGACGGTGTGGCAAAATCAAATTTGCAGGACAGCAGATTTGGACTCACCAAGGGTCCCTTCCTTAAAGAAAATGATATAATAATAGTAAATACACATTGCTTTTACGTAAGGTTGATTCCTGAAAGATTTTAAGTTGAGTAAAATGCTCTTTTTGATGGATACAGGAATTTCTCGCATTGCCGAGGGCTGATGCCATCCATCTCCTCGCTCAGTACAATGGGAACGCTGAGACAGTCATTCAGCAAATATTTGCTTAGTTTGAATTGTCTGAAATGCCCCAACGGTTTGCTTATATATTTATCATCACCGTTTTTTTTTTTTTCCTCCTTTTTCCTTTACGGGGTTGGTAGTTGTTGATTCAATTTATGCGTTGTACTTTTACCTTGTATATATAGAGGTAGGTTCAAAGGGTAAGCCCGGTATAGTGGGAGGTTCGGGCAATACTTGTATTGTTGTTTGTACAATATCAGAGGTTTTTCCTTTGTCTCTGGAAAAGCAATAATTAATAAAAATGGAATTATTGGATTGATTCAAGTTAATCATAGGATACCCAGGTAGAACGTAGAAACCCATACTCATTTATTCAGGAAAATGTAGATAGGAAGCAGATTTCTTGATAACAAAGTGTTTGGAAAAGAATGACAACCTTTCATTGATAACAACTCATATATATACAAGATGCAAGAATTTAAAAATACTAATCTCCTTAACATAAGGAATCAATTGAATTATAACTGATTACGGAATCAAGTTTTAAATTAAAGTCTTTGTCGTCAGGCCAATCAATGTCAGAAAAAGCATGAGTGAGAATGGTGAATCCCGATAACTTCCCCACTGAGAAAATAATTGAGTGATCCAAGATCCTTCATAGAAAATCTCTAAGCTAGTAGTTACACAAATTTTGGATCATTTCCTCATTATAATTACATGTAATGATAATGCCATCAACGTAAATAAACAAGAAGATGAGACAGAAATGAATGGCCACCTGTGTTGTAAACAAAGAGAGATGTGTCTGCATGAGAATTCACAAAATCAAAAGTGACTCAAATGTTGCGTGTGCGGGCGCTTTTTGAGTTCTTTCTGCTTTGTCAACGTCGTCGGTGTAATTTTTCAAAAATATTCCCTACAATTCTTTTATGATGTTATTGTCCCGAAAGATGTCATTCGGCTTGCTTCCTGTCGTTTTCCATGTTGTTCTCCCACATTTGTCGTTCATCGTTTTTCTTGTCGTTGCTTCAGTTATTCCCACCTTTTTTTTTTATATCGTTCCCCCATTTGGTCAAAGCGCAGAAATCCCACTACCCAAAGTGGGCACTTGTAAATAAATCGAAAACACGTGAACAAAATCAGAAGTGACTCAAATGTTGCGTGTGCGGGCGCTTTTTGAGTTCTTTCTGCTTTGTCAACGTCGTCGGTGTCATTTTTCAAAAATATTCCCTACAATTCTTTTATGATGTTATTGTCCCGAAAGATGTCATTCAGCTTGCTTCCTGTCGTTTTCCATGTTGTTCTCCCACATTTATCGTTCATCGTTTTTCTTGTCGTTGCTTCAGTTATTCCCACCTTTTTTTTATATCGTTCCCCCATTTGGTCAAAGCGCAGAAATCCCACTACCCAAAGTGGGCACTTGTAAATAAATCGAAAACACGTGAGACATTCTTAAAGTTTTCATTAGCGTTATAATGAACATCTATAATGAATATTAGAGCAAGGAAATAAAACCCTCCGTTTTAAAAGTATCATCATATGGCTGTAAACATTTAACCAATATCTGTATTGTATTTGTTATCATTACTAATTTCTGTCTGGTTTCAAGCAAAAACAGATAACTATTATTACATTGTTCGTTTTTCCTTTTGAGGGAAAAGAAGTAAAATAAGTATTGAACTCTCGAGATTGTGCAAAACACATTAGAATATAGAAAATAGATGGTCGCGGTTATCAGTTTTTTCTTAATTAATTCATTAAACTTTTTTTTTTTATTTTTTATTTTTATAAATTGGAGATAATTGGTTAGCTTGACTTGAAAAGGATTTATTGCGAAACTAAAAGCGCAATGGAATGATACATCTTCATTACGAAATGTGAGGTTATTATGAGTGAATTTAAATAAAGAGCTAATGGTCATTGATGAAAAGACCTAACAAAAGAAATCCTTCTCTCTTTTTTCTCCAACAACTTACCAATCGTTATCATTGTCATCTATATGTAATAATTCTCGTGACCACACACATTGTATAACAATGGTTTCACTGCCTTAAATTCAAAACCAATTGTTATTAGTGAATCTTTTATCTCTCTCTTTATAGTTTATATATGTTCTATCTAATATAATTCCATTTTTGTTGTGCAAAAATATGTTGGTTATAAACAATTATGGCTCCAGGTCGTTTGAGGAACAAGCAATATTGGTCCATGTGGGGCAATAACTAGCTCACAGAATCTGCAACAATAATACGAAAAATGAGGAATATTATAATCTACAATTTCTCAACTTAGAAACTCTCTTTAGTGGGATTTACGTTTCCCTTCAGACAATTTAAAAAACACACAACAACAATTTTTGACTCAATTAACATTTGTTCCTTTTTTTTTTGTTTTGTTTATAATTTTGGCACTTATTCAATCTTGCTTGGCCTTCTAAGTTTGAATTTTTGAAAGGAGCTAGTTGCCTTATCATAAAGGTTTAGGTTTTCTTTTTCTTTCTCTCTTTCTTTCTTTTTTGTTTTGTTTTGTCTTGTTTTTTTTTTTTTTTTTTTTTTTTTTTTTTTGAATGTGTCCTTATAAATTAAACTGGTTTACGCCATGCTTATCTAATTAACGCAGTATCTGAATGAACTACATATATATATATATATATATATATGTACATACATACAAATATTTGTTGCCATGAATCCCACTTAGTGGGATCTCTTTTAGAAGGATGTGGACATGTGGTATTTTACTTATAAGCATTAATAAATATGCTCGCATCAATTTCCATTTCTTTAATCAATCAAAGAAAAAAAAAATATTAAAGAAAAATATCAAGTTTTGAATTTTCAGCTAATTAATTAAACGACTTTATCCCAACGTTCCTCCTTAAAAAACCAAAACAAAACAAATATTAAAACAAAAACAACATAAAACTAAATATAAGAAAATAATTATTTTTTTTACAAAAAATAGAAGCAACTCTACTCGTATTATTGATGCACTGCCATTTGGAGGTAGCTCTCATTAACTAGCTATAGAGGAGAAAAGGCACCAACAAATTAATGAAGAATTGTCCTCTAGTTCTAGAGTTGTAAGTTTTTGTATTAATTTATTTTCTAATGTCAAACCACATGTGAACGTGATCATTAGATTGATAAATATAATTCTTAGTATTATAATTAATGGAAATTCATAAATGAGCATTAATAACAACTCAAGTACTTGTTGTTTTGGTCTCTGGACATATGTCATGCGGCGTTATTTTTTATTTATTATTTTTTTTAAAATTTCTATACAATATTTCAAATGAATTTTCAAAGTATTTGGGGGGACGTCAGTCACGTCACGGATTACGTTTTTTTAGCTTCTTTGTTCTGAAAAAAACATGTAGCGGTTTCCCACTTTCCCTCGTGGAAAAAAAAAAAAAAAAAAAAAAAAAAATTATGATACGTATTATTTTGTGAAACATCACGCACGCACACACATATATATGTATATTATGACCCCGTTCATTTTACCGATTCGAGTTTTATTACAGTAAAAAGCTTTCAGAAACAGTCATCTAATTTTTTTACTATAATAAAAAGTTCTCACATAAAATCACATCTCAACTCGAATCAACGAACTAAACGGACCATATATCTGTGTGTATATAAAATTATTTTTAGCAAGTCAGAATTTTATAAAACAAGTCAAATGGTATATCAGCTTTCAAAAAATAATAAGGGACTGGTAGTTTATATAAAAATTTCTATAATTCAAGTCTTATTCTATCTAATTTCGGTGGAACGAATTAGAATTTCATTTAGATCAGAGAAAAATAAGAACATTATAAATAATGCTTTAGAAAATTCGCAATTTATCCTATTTTCACAATTTCCTTGCATATATTTCATAAAAATAAAAAAAATAAAAAACAGAAGTTTCCTAAACATACATACATAGTAAATTAGTAATTAATTAAAAAAAAATAGTTGATAAGATTTATGAAAAACACGTACACATACATAGTAAATAATTTTTTTAAAAAAAAAAAACAGCTGTTAAGATTAATGGATCAAATTACTTCTGATGACCATATATTTATGCGATTGCTTGACAGTCTTTCTTATATATGCTATAATATTATTGAATTCAGCTAACTTATTATCTTCTCTATTCAAATCAATTGCCAACACATTTAAGAAATAAAAAGTTGCTGAAGGTTCTTTTTTCTTTTTCCGACCAACTATCATACTCACATGTCTTTATCATATAAATTAGGCGCACTTATAATCCTCCAAATGGCTATTACGGGTCCTTTTCGGTGATTTGAGAGTTGACTGCATAGAAAGTAGGAATTGTCTTGTATAGTCATACAGGAACTTATAAAGTATAGGTGCACAAAAGTAGAACTTATATACAAGTACAACTAGTATGTATCGCCTTTTCTCCTTATTACGAGTTCGTTTTAAAATTTTTAATTTTGATATTTAATACTCTAATTTAGACAAATCTTAAAAATACAGTCCAATTTATAGCGGATGTCAATTAATTGAATATATCAAAATTAAAAGAAGTAAATGATCTAGTTTGCAAACAATGCACTTCTGTAAATATCTTTCTTTCAACATATTTTCAAACATAAAGATCTGATCTATCAAAATTACAAAGTTTAAAAGCGCAGTCTCACACACTGCGGCTTTGTAATTAACCCTTTCATACATGACACGAATTCTCACATATATTATACGTGTTATGTAACAATATGGGTAGAAAGCTTTCATTGGAGTTAGAAAAGTCCAAAAAGAAATAAATGAAAGGCAATTTCGGTCTTTCCCAATAAAGTTGCAAGTTCCATGTCATCTTGTTCCACCTCTAATAGGTGTGTGTCTATTTATATATATATATATATATATATATTTATATTTATAATTGACACAAACAGTCTTTAAATTATTTAATAGGTAAGTTTAGTATTTTTTTAGTTTTGACAAAATGATACTCAATTTCACGCGTGTTTTTTTTTAAAAAAATACTATAATAAATTACGAATTATAATTCAAATCACAAATTCACCAACTTATATGTTAAGTTTTTATCGGAACCTATCACAGGCTTTGCATGTCATCTTCTATGAAAGGGTATTTTAGTAAAATACTAATAATTTATCATCTAAAAAAGAAAAAGAAAAACTAGTTTAAAAAAAACAAAGAACAAAGAAGGAGGATCTGCACGCTGTCGTCATCACACTCTTGGAAACATGGTTCTTGGTTTCCTATCAGACCAATTAGAAAAAAAAAAAAAAAAAAAAAAAAAAAAAAAAAAAAAAAAAAATAATAATAAGAACCTCCAAACCCAGATCAATGAAACAAGCATACTTGTTAAACTTAAAAATATTCGGTGGCTCTTGTATATTCAGTGGCTCTCGGTCAAGTATATTTGTTCTTCTGATCATGTATCTTTTTTTAGGCTTCTATTTTAAAAATGGTTAAATCTCCCTTCAAAAAAAAAAAAAAAAGGTAAATCTAAACAATATCCTCTCTGATGTTTGATAACTTTGCAAAGGTATACGAAAAGATGTGAAACTGAATTTAAAAGAGTTGTTACATTCAGACAATTTCTCCTCCTTGTTAGATTCTCGTCTTTATTGTTGGTTCCAAATTTTCACATCATCAAAACACCCACGAACAAAACTTAGTTATATTTGAATCCAAACCTTCGGATCAAACAAGGAAGAAGAACTCCTAATTTTCTCTCAAGAGCAAAAATTAAAAAATTAAAAAAAGAACCCCTTTTCTCTCTTTTAATCCATGGGTTCGCTCTTATAACTTTTTAGAACTTCGAGTCATCGTTCTCCCTACCTCAGATCTGAGTTTGCAACAGCGAGAGACTATTCTTGCGGCGGGAATTAGTCTTTCTGGCAATAGGAGAACATGCCAAACCTATGGACTGCAGTCCAACAGGGGTTGAAGCCCCCAAAATTCAGCAGCATCAGAGCAGCCACATGTCCCTAACTCGTGAATAGAAACACGACAACTCTCTGTTCTCTGCCGCCAACTCCAACCTTCCAAACTACATTCAAACCCCTCTTGAAATCACCATGTTGAGGGATGCACCCAAAGACGACAGCCAAATTCACTTTGGAAAAAACCCTCAATACTTGCTTTTCCCTCCCCAGCCATGACCCCGGAGAGATCCACATTGCGGCATCTGACCACCCTTGCATAGGGCCGGGAGTTTGGAGCCCAACCCTAGGGTGACACCGGACTCCAGCCGTTAAAGACTTTCCACTAAGACGACGCAGTGAGAAGAAGAGAGGAAAAGAAGAAAAATCCCTAGCCGCCTTGTGTCTAGCGCAAGCTAATTGCAAGACTTAATCCAACATGCCTTGATTAGTTGATTAGCATTTAATTTGTCTGCAGTTAGAAGATAAAGTTCAAAGGAGATGGAAGTCAAATACTCATCTTTTTAAAATTTAAATTTATAGAGGGTATTCTCTTAAGGAGAAAAAATAATAATGACTACTAATAAGCAAAGTGAAATACTTCAATTTTGTTGCGTAGAATTTGATTGAAAACACTCTCATAAGCATATGCACTGTTATTTGCATATTGTTCTAAAGTATCAAATTAAAGTGTACAATCAATTATGCTATCATACAAGTTTTTCACTTATCTATTAATTCATTCTTCTAATAAAAGGTGGGGGAGGGGGTGGGGTGACTATCTTATGATTATATATACGTTATAGAAAAATTGTTTTCCAAGTTCTCACAACCAACAAAGTACAAACGTAGAACCAAAACTCATAGCTCCTTCTCTCTCATTTTTTCTACATTTTTTTTTTTCAAGATTTCTTTTAAGAAGTATTTGGTAGGAAAGAGATATCCTTTTTCTAGTTTTATTTTTACTTTTTCTTTTTTCTTTTAGATCATATCGAGTTTCTAGACCCTTGGATCATTTTCTACCAATAGAGGAAATTTAGTATTCCGCGGAAAATAATATATTTTTGGTGGAGCGATTAACGATTATGATGTATTTTTCTCCTCTCACAGTTCTATTAATAATTTAGTATTAAGAAATTATAGTAAATATTAGATTTTTAAAACTAAATTAAGTAAATAACATAATTTAAAACTATTTAAAGTAAAAAATAATTTATATGGTAAATTAATCATTTATACGGTAAATGATTCAATTACAGTAGAAAATAACTTGCGTAGTAATTTTATTTACGTGGAAAAAATTCTTTTTACTAGTCATAAAAAGAAAATTTACTTGAAAAAATGATTTTACTAATTATAAATGAACCATTTATGCGACAAGTGATTCATTTACTAATGTGAACTGTTATTTACTTCAAATAGATTTAAAAATATGTTATTTACTTCAAATAGTTTTAAAAATATGTTATTTACTTAATTTAATTTTATAAATATGCTATTTCCTACCTTCTTGATTTAGCGGAAGCTTGATTAAAGAAAAAAGTGAAATAATAAAATAAAAGGGTAACTAATTAACATGTGGATTCACACATAACACTACGAAAATTGCTTCAAAAACCATTAATTTCACACAGAATACCAGAATTTAAGAAGAGAGAACATTCAAGAAATACACATTAATTTTTATTCTACTAAACTGGTTTTCATTACAAGAGGGCGTCCATATAAATAGGTAAAATAGAAACAGGAAACTAATCTATTCTATAATTAAAATAATAAAAAAATATGAAATTTTTCAAAAAAGGAAAATTTTGAACTGGAAACTAAATCTGAAACTACTAGACACAAAGAGAAAGGAAACACAATCAGAACTGGAATCCAAATTTCCTAGGTCAACTTATTATAAAAACAAAAATTACTAAAAATGAAAAAAAAAGCCCTTTTGGAGGCTTAAATGAAGAAATTTACCCAAAAAACATGACACGTCGTGACAATGTGACAAGTTTTATCTGTTGGCCTGTTTCTGTTTAAAAAATACATATTTTTCGTCTAAATCTGACATCATTAAAAGACCTTATAAAAATAAAAAATTTATCTTATTTAGTTTTGGGATGTTCCCAACACGCCAGAAAGACTAAACTCTTCTACAACGCATCAATTCTCCCTTTAGTATTTAATACTATTACTCTATGGTCTTTTGAGCGTTGGGTTTAGAATCGGATGGGAGAGAAATTGAGCCCCTATTACTTGAGTAAAATTGAGATAAATATTCTGATGGAGAGAAATTGAGCCTATTACTTAGTAAAATTGAGACAAATATTTTACATTCCATTGTCATCCATGAATTTCTTTACGAATTGAGGAGATAGGAATGAGATGATGTTAATATTTTTTTAATAACAAAAGAGATTTTTCTTAACAAAAAATTATATTCTTTTAGACAACACATAATATGAGGTAATATAAAATAAATTTCTTACAAGTACAACACTTTCTTTCTCCCTCTCTTTAAGGTTTTTTTTTTTTTTTTTTTTTTTTTTTTTTTTTGCTCTCTTTTTTGTGCCGCTCTCTTTTCAACTTTGGGATTGGAATCTAGCACCAACTCTTGACTAGCCTCCGGCTCTAGAGACAGAGCTCTAGATCTTATGGTGATGATCATGGTGGTAGTGATGACTTTTTGGGTAGAGGGAACAAATGAAAGGGTGTTAGTTTTTTGGCTGATCATGTTGTGTGCATTGTATCTCCAGCATTCCCATAACCTCAGAATCTCGCCCTCCTCATCGTGGTGGTTATGAGTGCGTGGATGAGTGCTCGGGTTGATAGTTTTGTTGCGTAGGTCTTCACTAGTGCCAAGTTGGTGTCTTTCGATAGTGGTGTCGCATGCATCTTCATCGATATGTTCTTTATGATCTTAGTGGCTAGCTTATCGTCATTGATATTCTCCGTGTGGCTGACTTTTGTCTTACTTTTAATTTTTATTTTGATGTAATAAAGGCGATGTTGATTCCACTGTTTCAACGTTTATGTTTTCATTGTTTAATAATGAAAGTTGTCACCTCACCCTTCAATAATGGTGGTAGGTCTAGTCCGCTAGGTTATATCTTATGCAGTGTTATGAGCGACCGTAGTGCTCTGAGATTTTTACTCTCGGTCGATTGATTTTGTCAATCGACTGTAGTAATTTTGTCGAATGAGTTTTTATCATGCTCAATTACTAATATGTCAAGCTAGTATTTTCTTCAGGTCTTGACACTCGTGTTCACCTCTGTACCTCATTCGTCTATACTGATGAGTTTAATATTTTTTGTGGGCGAATACCCTTATCTTTAATAGTTATTTACAGCTAGAGTATCTATTATTATTATTTAATGAAATTTTTTTATTTAAAAAAAAAAGAATACGAGGTAATCCCCTCTATTCACATTTCAATTTTGAGTTTAACCGATGGCCGAAAAAAGACTTGCTCAAAATTGAAATACAAAAGGGCACATTATTAAAAAATTATGTATAAAAAAAAATCCCGACTATTTCCAAATTTACATTTGTTCTCGCCTTAAAAGTTACTAGATTCCATCGTAAAATAAAAAAAAAACAAAAGAAAAGTCAAAAAGTCTTTCCCGTATCTTTTCTTCTCTTGCCTTACTCTCAATTTCCAACCCCCACGCGCCTCAGCTCACGTGGCGTTCGTTCCCTATTGTTAGATTAGACTTGGACCCAACTGAATCAGAATTCCGCATCTGTGGCCGTACAAAAATTCGCTGTAAATATAGATAATTCACTATTACACCTCTCTTCTTCACCAAAAACCCAAAAAGAAAAATTATATATACACTCACACACACATATATACATATATACATATACCCATATATATATATATCTATATATATAATACCTCCACAAAGGGCTCAGAGTCAGAGAGAGAGACACATATTGGAAGTAGAAAACAATTTCTCTGTGATTCCAGAAACACCCTCTCTCGCTTCTCTCTCTCTCTAGTGTTACCAGTTGGCTCTTGCCCAAAATTTCCCGGCTTTGTATTCCACGAGGCTCTAAAAAAGTAGCTCCTAAACCCGGAAAACTTTCCTTTCGGCCTTCCTTTTTTTAAAAAAAAAAATTGTTTAATTATTTTATGTCTGTTAAGAACTCGTGGGCAGTTCATTAAATAGTCGGCTGTTAGATGAATCGAAGGCTTTGAGCTCTGCTTCGCTTTTCTCTGAAACAGCTATGGCCGAATATATCTGCTTAATCAACCAGGTTCTCTTTTTTTTTATGTTTTTATTTTGATTTCTTTTTTTTTTTTGTTTAAATAGAATGTAGGGTTTTCTCTTTCCTTTTTTTATTTTTTTATTTTTTTCCTTAATTTATAGGTGTGGAATATATTGATGTATCTGGTGCTTTTGCTTTCTGTTTCAAGGTTATTTTATTTAATTTTTATTTTTATTTTTTTTTTTTTGTTTTTTTTTTTTTTTTTGTTTAAATAGAATGTAGTGTTTTCTCTTTCCTTTTTTTATTTTTTTATTTTTTTCCTTAATTTATAGGTGTGGAATATATTGATGTATCTGGTGCTTTTGCTTTCTGTTTCAAGGTTATTTTATTTAATTTTTATTTTTATTTTTTTAATCTGTGGAATTGGTATTTTTGAGTTGTGGGTTTGGAAGAACAATGTATGTGGGGTTTTAGAAAAATATTTTCATCTCTCTCTGCATGTGCCGATCTGGGTTTTCATACTTCAGAAAACAAAAACAAAAAAACAGAAAAATCATCTTTTCAGATTTTTCCCACTTAAACCCATTGCCATTAGCATTATAAAGTTTTCTTTGTTAAAAAATTGGAATGGAGAAAAAACCCTTTTCAGCTTTAATTTAATGGCCACTGGCCACTGCCCACTGGAATTGTTTCGTAATTTTTACTTAATGGCACTTTTTTTTATTTTTTTTTATTTTTTATTTTTATATATAAGAGAGAAGCGCCTTAATGACACTTTTAAATTGACTATTTTATATGCTTTTTTTTTCCTTCTGGTTTGCAGGATGCAATCATAATAAAATCTCCTAAGAAATCTCCTCTACTGTTAAGGACAATAGTCTTAATCTTTGCTATGGTGTGTGGCGTTTATATCTGCTCAATATGTCTCAAGCAGATAAATATTCAAAACAACATTAATTTTCAGACTATCCAATTCATTGAAGGGCCTCATCATGATAATGGGATCAAGTTACTAGAAAATCCTTACCGGCATTTTCCCAATCCCAAAACCTTTAGCCGGTAATCTCGAATTTCTACTCCAAATTTTGAGGGTTTTTTTTTTTTTTTTTAATTAAGTCTCAGCTTTACTAAATGTGCATTTTGGAACTTTTTTTAGGGGCGAATGTGCGCGTAATCCAGTAAAGTTCTTTACCATCCTGTCGATGCAGAGATCGGGAAGTGGGTGGTTTGAGAGCCTATTGAATAGCCATATCAATGTGAGCTCTAATGGTGAGATATTTTCTCGTTGGTATAGGAGAGAAAATATTTCCTCCATTGTACAGACTCTAGATAAAGTTTATAATTTGGATTGGCTCAGTAGCGCCTCGAAAAATCAGTGCTCCGCGGCAGTTGGCTTCAAGTGGATGCTTAATCAGGTAAATTAATGTATTTGATTGTGGATAGGTTATGTTTTTCTGCTAGATGAATATTTGAAGACTTATCTAGTTAAGTGGGAAATCATTAGATTTGAGAACCGTCATTCAACCTAATTGGTTGTGCATTATTAATTATCATTCTTTTGAACATTATGCAGAGGCAGGGATACCCCATTTATTTGATTTATTTACTTTGTGAAATTTTCTGTTCATTATATTCAGATTGATTATCTATATTGCAATTTGTAATGAAGGGTTTGTTCAATTCCACATTAGAAAGCCGGGTATCTTGTTAAACTATTGTCGAAAATGTGTGGGTGGAAGTTTTTGCGTGTTTGTACATGAGGAAAAAGATAAAATCATTCATGTTTAGCTGTTTGCATAATAAAAAAAAGCTGAAGGCATTCTTGTTTTGCCGGTGACTCTGAAGATGGATGCTAGAAATAAATCTGTGGTCCATTTTTCCCTTTTTACGCTGTGTCAGTCCCTAGGCAAAACTCGGGAAGAGCTAACAAATCATGTGTTGGGCTATGCAGGGGTTGATTGAGCACCATAAAGAGATAGTGGAGTACTTTAATCGGAGGGGTGTTTCTGCAATATTTCTCTTCCGCAGGAATTTGTTGCGCAGGATGGTTTCAGATCTTGCAAATTCATATGATCGATATGCTAAGCTATTGAATGGAACCCACAAGGCGCATGTACATTCAGTGGAGGAGGTTTCTCTCTTTCCTTTACAATTTAATTTACTTCGTCCTTGCGCTTGTTCTCAAATTCAAGCTTTCATCTTCCTCTAGGCTGAAAAACTTTCAACATACAAGCCGACAATCAATTCTACATCGTTGATTGCGGATATTGAAAAGATGGAGTTGACAGCTGCAAATGCCTTAGCATACTTCAATAGCACTAGACACATGATTGTGTATTATGAGGACGTTATGACGAATCACACTGTAAGTTTGAGACAAAGTTTTCTTAACAGAATCGTAGTACTCAGTTTTTCCCAAGCTACTTATTTTGAAGCTGCAAAACATACCAATCCCCATAAATGTTCCCAAACCATAATACAACCCTGGCCAAAAAGTGAAGTTGTTAACTTGGTTTTCTTTTGCTCCCTAAAAGCGAGTTCCCATTTGAGTTCCCCTTTCCTTTTCACTGGGATGCATCAACTGAAACCTTTCTTCTAGTGCTATAACCAAGCTTGTTATAAACCCTTTTGAGTGATTATTCAGTTTCGTTTTTTTCCCCTTCATGTTTGTTGCAGAAACTGCAAGATGTTTTAGATTTTCTTGGATTGCCACAAATGGAGCTAAAAAGCCGTCAAGTAAAGATACACAAAGGATCATTAGCTGACCACATCAAGAACTGGGATGATGTCAAGAGGACGCTCAAGGGAACGGCTTACGAGCATTTTCTCTACTCTGACTACTGATTTTTAGTCTGCTTCTAAGTTCTAACACTATTGGATTGGAGTAAATACCAACCTAACTACCGAATTCTTACCACAAGCTGGCGGGGGTTTTGGGCGGCTGTTTGAAGTTTTGGCTGCAACGCCCTCTCGGTTTTCTGATTCTCATTTCCCTTTCTCCCCATCAACAATTCGTTGATGTGTTCTATACCCTTTTTTGTTTCTTTTTCTTTTTGTTTGATCTTATAGACCAGGCCAATTTGTATGTGTACTAAAGAATGCGAGTTAAAATGCGATTGTTTAATGCCAAAAAAAAAAAAGAGAAAAGAAAAGAAAAAAACGAGAAAAGATAGCGCGTCATGTCTTGTGTTCTCTAACATATGGATTCATTTATCATTTTTATATTTTTTAATACTTAATACATGCTAGGAAAAAAGATTTTAGGTGAAATTTTTTTTATATAATATTGCAAATTGCATGAAAGGAAACTACTGCTATTGTGGCATACCTATGGAACAAATATTGGTAGGATATATCTTGAATTATTTGGTTGGTTTTGGGTTGGTGGAAACACGATCTGATCTTGTAGAACCCACAAATAACAAGAGGTTTCCTATTGTTTAACGAGGTCCAGAATCAAACTCAGTAGAGTCCAATCATGCGTCTCATGTTACCGACATGTTGTTTTCTCAAATGGCCGACTATTAGATCCTAACGGATCTCCCAAAACGTGTCTTAGATAAGTGTGTTTTCCGGCTTCTAACAGTAACAAATAGCAAATTTTCCATAGAAAGGATTGCTATATAATGTAAGAAGGCTTTACCGGCCAAAGCCAAGGATTTCAAATGATGCTAGAGAGGCAGTCCATGGAATCCACTCTTATGTTTATATTTTTTTTTATGTCTGTCTAATAATATCATGACAAGTCAATTAAAATTTTATATCATGACAAATCAATTAAAATTTTATATCACGGCAATTAAAAAGTCATGACAATTTACTTACGAGTTACGTGGTAAGATCTTATTTGAGGGACATGAAACAGAGAAAGGAAAAGGATCATATGAGCTTGATCTGGAATCCAGAACCAAGTGAAGCACCTCAAATTTCAACCGGTGCATTTCTTGAGTTTTTGGTATGTTGATGATGTTTCTCGAGTTTCTTATGTAGCTTTTTCTTGTTGATGGGCAGAGATTTTGCCTTTTTTATTTTTTTAGTGTCGTTTCTGGATGTCATTGTTATTTTTCAGTTTTTGCACGTCCATTTTTTTTAAACTTAATGTAGCTCATTGTCGTTTTTTATGCTGTCCCTTTACTAAAAAATGCGCGTTATTTAACTGTCTTTTATTATGTTATGCTGCCATTTTTTATTTTTTGAGTTACTGTCGTTTTCTAAAGTGATGATGTTTCTCGAGATTTATGCCGTTTTACCTGATGTCACTTCTCTCATCGTTTCTTGTTGTTGCTTAGTTGTTGTTGTTTTTCCCCCTTCTTTTTTTGTTGTACTGATATTGTTTTTATAAGGTTGTGAACCTGTGGGATTCCCAATTATTTTGTTTTCTGGTTATTCAGTAGTAGTGAAGGTTTAGTTTATGGATTTAAAATTATTATTTAAATTTTTTTTTAATTTATGTATATTTTTTATGAAAAAAAATACTGTAATAAATTATAAATCATGATTTAAATCATAACACGAATCTACTAATCAAACACGACTCACATATATATTATTATTTTTCTTTTTTAATAAATTACTGAAGTCATATATAATGTGATTATATATATCTTTTTTTTTTTTTTTCATGTAGTTGCACAATATTATCAGCTACAAAGTCATGATAAAGAAACTGATTTTATCTCTCTTACACAAGCATCTTTCGGCACAAATATTTTATGACACATGGGTCACATGAAAATTCTTACAGATTTTTCAAGGTTATGTATCCTCGTTTTGATTTTTTTTTATTTCCATATATATATTTTAATTATGGGAAGTAGTGTACATCGTTTAGTGTACATCGTTTTGATTTTTTTTATTTCCATATATATATTTTTTAATTATGGGAAGTAGTGTACATCAGAGGTTTGATAAAAATTATTGTTTCGACAATTTTGTCAGACTTAAGAAATCTGGGGGTTTTAAACAGAGCAGTGGCAATTAGCGAGGGGCGGAGGGCCAAGGGCCAAGTCTTTTAAGTAGGTGACAATTTATGTTGTTGTCTCGTATTTATATTGTGTTGATCCTCTCAATTAATATAATAAGATTTGATATGAACACGATTTATTTATTATTTGTGTTAAAATATAAAATTTAAATATGATTTATATATTGATAGATTAACACGATACGACATGATTAATTTGTTTATTAAACAGATCATAATAGTGTTGTGTCAACTTATTTTTAATAACCCATTTATTAACCCGTTTATAAAATGGATGATAATAAGATCGTGTCAACCTATTTCTCAACCTGTTTTTTCTTTTAAAAAATATATATTTGTAAAACATAGGTAACAAACGAGTTGTAATTGTATTGTGTATTTGTGTTACCGAATTATGACATGTTTAATAAACGGGTTATGCCAGGTCAATTGAAGGTTGACGGGTCAACTTAAAAACGACATGTTATTTAATTGTGTTTCACGGATTTGACTTAATTTTGAGTAAAACCTATTTATGATAAATCCAAACATATTAATTTTGTGTAGATTTTGAATCATGTCATTGTGTCGCTGCCTGAATTATCAACCATAAGTCCAAATCTACTGTTGGTGGCATCCGTATTCCGTAAAAAAATATAGAAAATAGGCCAATATGAAAACTTTAAGAAAGTATATAGGTCAATTTTTAGTTATAGAAATTAATAGGCCATAACTTGTCAAGTTATGGTTCATAACCAGATAAGTTATGGACAAACTTGTCAAGTTATGGTTCATAGCCAGACAAATTATGGATAATTATGGACAATAACTTATCAAGTTATGGTTCATAATCAGATAAATTATGGACAAAAATAGTAATTTAACCTATTTATTAACTCATGTAAACTATTAACCTATTAATTTTAATTCATCTCAAATTTTAACATATTTTCTTTTTTCTTCCTATTACGTATGGGTTGTGAGGCCCACAATAGGATCTTGTGGAACCCACAAATCCCAATTCACAATCAGGTTCCTACACACATTAATCACGCATACTTACGATTAAACGAGGTATATATATTATATATACATATAGGACATGGCTATAGTTCCCCACTTGTTTAATGCATAGACCTGTCTCCCACTCAATTGTGGTCGTTGGATGACTATCTCTTAACTTTTAAATGATCCAACGGTGCAAATTTTCAAGGGTATTGAAGGGTAGTTAATGTTACATCAGACAGGCTACTGGTTAAGTTTCTCAGGGAAAAAAAAGGGCAAGTCTGATTCATTAAACGACTGGTTGTCTTATTATCACAGTTAAAAATTCTTGGATTGGTATCAAAGTATGAAATGTATTAAGGATTTTATTATTTATTTAATAAAAGAGATATTTTATTATATTGTGTATGTATAATTTGAATACTTTATAAACATCACTGAAAATTCTACGATTATTTATGTGACTTTAAATATTATACATCATTACTATATATTAGATAATATTTAAAGATAATAATGGAAATAAGTCCGTAATGAATTTGACTAAAGTTTATAATCTTTAATCAAAAACATTATTAATACATGTTATTCTCATTATGAATGGAACGAACTTATCTGCTTCATTAGTATAGAGATATTGAAGTGAGTGTATTATACATAATGTGATTATAGGACAAGGACAAGACATGAATTGAAGTTCTAATAATTTCTGTTAAGTATAAAAAATTGATTCGAGTCTACCGATGGCTATATGTAGAATCATCTCAATCTTGAGTTCTTAACAGACTCATATTTATGGAATTGTGTCTTTTGACTTACTCAGTATGGACTTCGACACACTTAAGTCCTATTCCTTGTATCTTGGAGAAATGATGAAGTAGCTGCGAATGTTATTATACGAGATGAATTCCGTTCCTTCTTGAGAAAGAAGCAGATAAATAATTCCCTTATAGTGTTGATTCGGTATTTGGACCAGTAGGCCTCGCTTCAAGCTTGTTTAGAATACCTGAATCTTTCTCGTCAATTCTTTGAATCTACAAAGACGTATGTGTGGGCATACCTAAAACAAAATGGGATTAGCAAATAAATGGTCAAGTTTTTTATGAACACAACACATGCACGCCGTGAAATTTGGGAGCAAAATTTTCCTTTCCCCACTGTATAGAATTCGGCCACAATATGCTAGGGAAAACAAAAATTGTGTTCTCCAATTTTCTGTAATCTCCTATTTATGGAGTAGTAGTCAGACTCTCAGAAGAAGTCTAAACTTTACTGTCAAGATAAAGCTTGATAATTATCTCACTTCTAATTGATTTTGGAAACAAAATTCCCTCTCTCTCTTATCCTATAGGGCCGGCCACCACAGGGATATTCCTCCCTGTGGTAGGCGCAATAAACAAATAGGGAAGGAGGCAAAATTCTCATTTATCCTGTAGTTCAATATTGACTCAAATTTAAATTTCAATTTAAGTCAAACTTAATTTAATTTGAATTTCAATTGGACAACTTATCAATAAGTCAATTGGATAACTTAGAAAGTAAGCAACTGAATCCCAGAGGGATTCACACTGTGTTGGGCGTAAACACCATGTGGACACCTCCACATGTGTGTTCCAAAATTTAAATTTAAATAATCACATTATTTTTAATTTATAATTGCTTAATTATTCTTGAGCATTCTATTTAGAATTTCATAATTCTAAAATTTTCATTTTGCCCTTAGTGTCTTCTAAGATTATAAGGACGACGCGGAGACTTATTTACCTATAATTCTGAGCTCCAATAAAATTAATAATTAGATAAAACTCTTTAATTAATTAATTAACTCTATTAATTCTAAAAGTTACTCCACTATAAACTTAGGATTGCACTCTTGCAATTATAGATCTTCTAAACTGCGAAGTGTTCATTTAATATAGTCATTACATATAGATCAATCATCCATAAATAATTCATAATTAGAGCTAGGTGAAATGCTTTAACCTCTCTAATTACATCTTTATCCATGAGTACCATTGATTCTCTAATGGACAATGAGTCATAAAAAAAATTCATGAATCATAAATCCTACTAGTGCAAGTACCGAATCAATCATCAAGAGAATTATTTATCTGCTTCTTTCTCAAGAAGGAAAGGATTCCATCTCGTGTGTTAACATTCCCGGCTACTCGCTTCATCATGTCTCTAAAATACAAGGAATAGG